TCAACCGCAGCAGTGGAATTTGTATCTGTTGAAGAGTTAACTTGCTGCAGTGGAGAAGCTGCGTCTGCGTCATAAAGAAAATCAACTGACTCGAACAATGGACAAAAACTTGTGTCTTCATTTGATTCCAAAACTGCTGGCTCGGCCAATGAAGTAATGTTTGAAACTACAATATTACTTTACTTATTATAAATTCAAGAAAAATATTATAATTACCATACCGTTATCTTCGTGTCCAGTTTCATCCATCAATGTTTCGACGTTGTGGATTTTAAAACTGCCTAATATGGCATGTACCTTATGGTACAGCGGCCAAGTAGATGGAGATCCACCCGACATGCCCATCGCTGCCTTTTCTTTTCTATAATATATTTTAGGTTTCATATTAGTTAATAAATTTAATTGTATAAATAGAAAATTTAATTTATGTAACCTAGTAAATAAATAAATAATATACTTTATGTATAATTTAAATTAATACAAAAAACGTAATTAAATTTACCTATACTTGCTCGTCAAGTTATTTATTTTGTTCGAAATTCCTTTAACCGACACCTCCATTCCACGCAATGAAAGTTTTTGTTGAAATTCTTTATAAATGTGGCTATTTCTCCTATTGCCACGGAGGTTTTCTATATCTTCCTCCCAAAGTTCACACAAAATGTTTTCCGCCTCGAGCGGCCACACAACTTGTTTTTTTTTCAGTAATTTTTCGCTGCTCATGGTTGGTAACAATTCAAACTGAAATAAAACTACTAAACATTTGTTTATCTTTTTTATAAATATGTCAAAACAGCTTTTTCAAACTGTCAAAATGCCATGAAGAGCTTTCATTTAGGGTATGTTCAATAGATTCCTTTGCATTTGGAACATATGTGGAATGCATTCGAACGTCATTCATACAGAATGTGAGAAAATTCCTCATTTTGTGCTTGAAATTTTATATGCAAGAATGAGGCATTCGATACTCATTTTCGATTTTTGACCAAAATGAGCCATTTTCGGCCAATGTAAACGCCGTATTATTCATTCGTAAAGCGAATTTTGTAGTCAACACCGAATAGGTCGATGATGTGGAAGCGTACGCACGTATACTAGTAGTTTTCGTGGTGAGTCTTCTTCAAAAGAGGCAGAACTCGAAATTGGACAATTTTGAGTTAAAGTAGTCAATGTAGTGTTTTTTGAAAATTGAGGAATTTCGAAGAATACGGACCTAAACATGTTGAAGTTGAAAATAATCGTGCGTTTTGAGATGGTATTTGTGCAATTTCTAAGAGTGTATTTGTTATTTTGTGTTATGCTCATTTAAGTTTCCGTTCAATATAAAATCTTCTTTGATACATAGCATAGTATAAGTCTAAAAGTATTTTTATAAATTTATTATTAGCCGTAATTTTAAAAAATAGAATTAACTCTGGTTAAAAGAAATTGACAGCACTTTTAAATGCTTGAATGCTTTTATTTGACATATGATATTTGTTGTGTTGTATATAATATGATATGATACGAACGACTTGAATTTTGAAATATATTTTCAGTAAAAACTCACAATAGACTAATTTTTGAATTTGGCCGCATTAAAACGTTACTCTTGAATTTTTTTGCAAGTAAAACCTAACTCTGAGGATTTTAAGAACATTGTTGTTGTTTCACATGTTTTCTTTCGTAACTTTCGAGTATTTTTTTGAAACTTTGAAAGAAAAATTTCGACAATTATTATATTAGCTGCGTTTCAGCAAACATGATCCGCTCAATTTTACATGCAAAACAAAAACAATGGGGTGAACCAGCAATTGATCTGGTTCACTTTCTGGTTCAATGTGGAATGTATGTAAAAGATAAAAGTGGAACGTATTTTAATGCAAATGAGGTTGGCAATGCGACGCAACGGTGTAGTAAAATTATAAACAAATCTACATTTATATTTATTTATTAGTGATTTTATTTATTTATTATTTATTTTATGTACTTATTTATTTAATATGTCATTATTATTTATTTCTTTGTTTGAAGTAATGTTTTAATTATTACTATTACTATAAATTGAAATTATTAAAATTAATTAAAATTATTACTTTAATTATTTACGTTTTATTATTATAAAAAAAGTGTTGTTTGATAATTTATGAAAATCAATTAATTTGAAATGAATATATAAACATTAAGTTGAATACATTTATTTAATTAAAACAGAACAATACATAAGGAAACAGGCTCTCCAACATACACGTTTATAAAAAAACCATTGCAAACTGCTTGCAAGTTTAAGCTATATTTATGATTCCTTTTGAAATAAGCCTAATTGCTATGGTGAGGTGCTCTAATTTTAACATGTGTGCTGTCAATCACGAACGGAAATTTTGCAATTGATATACTCTAAACACTAGTTCTTTTAATTATTCTCCATACAGACGCTTTTGGTATGCCAAAACAAATACCAATTTCGCGAAAAGTATTTATATTTGCCATATACCATAAAAATATGTAAATTTCCTTCATTGCTCTCGTTCAATTGTGACCACCACGGTTATTTTGTATTTGCTGATTGGATTTTATTAACAAATCTATTAAAATATGAAACATAATTAATATATAGCAATTGTATATTTTATGCACAAATACCAATCAAATAATCTTTAACGGAACAATTATTGATCGTTTCCATAAAATTTCCACTATATCCATATTGATGCACTTCATCCCTTGAGCTTAATACACTTGGACTAGTGTTTAAAAAGAAAATGGAGGAGTCAGTTTTGCTCGATAATTCTAATAAAATCTGCAATTTCCATTTATTTACTATAGAATTAAATTTAAGTTTTTAAGTAAATACTAAATAAAAACTTACATTTCATACTTCAGACATTTCAACAGATTTTATTTATTTTCCAAGTTTTAGATTTTTTGTATTCAAAATTTTCTCACTTATTTTTTTAGCGCCAAAATTATTCACATAAATCAAAAAATTTTGTGCACAAACCCAACTGGCATATTTCATGCGTTGCCAATTATTTTCAAACGTGATCCGTATCGTTTCAGCAAAGATGATCCAGATCATTGAGCGGATCATGTTTGCTGAAACGCAGCTATTATTATATATGAGAAATATGTAATATGGGAACTCTAGTTTATGTTATATATTATAAATGAGTCAGCGTTCCCATATGCGGATTTTGTTGCATATGAAGTTAATTGGTGCCCTATCAAGCCTAAGTTCCACGATCCAGTCCGGACCCATGCTGTTTAGATCTCGAATTAATGTTACATAGCAAATGGCTGATGATTGTTGCATTGCGTGCAACGGTGACATCTATACCAAACTTTTCTTTTTTGAAACTGTCCAGATATTATTTAAATATCTGATACCGTATCAAACTAAAGATTTTCTTTCGTAGCAAAGATAGTGCTGATTTTGATTCTCAGATTTGCCACCCGAATGACAAGACCCTTATTTACGTCCCAGTGGTTGAATTCGTGTTTATTGTATGGACATTCGGATGTGTAGTGCACATCGCAGTAGAATCAGCAGGCCGATTCCACTAATCGCTATCGCTAAAACTTCAATCTCTTCGCTAAAATTCTTAAATAAGCGATTCGCTTATTTTAGGAGAATTAGCGATTGTGTGATGCGGATAATGCTGAAATGAACTGAAATGTCAAAATAAATACAAAAATTGTAAACAAATATCAGCTGTTGGACTTATAATTTAAATTTGAATTTAAATTTAAAAGCACATACTTCAACAAAAACTATTTAGCAATTGTGAAATTTAAATTAATATTCAATTAATATAACATTGGTGTGTGAATTAATTAAATAATGGACTTTTTGATAAGAAGGAGATTTTTTTTTTCTGGTGATGTGAGAGATTCACGGAATCATTTACGTTGGAAAAGAAAATGTTTGCGGAATTCTACAGACCCCTTCGCTATATCTAATGCGCGTTTTATTGAAATATTTCGTCTTTCGAAATATTTATGTAAGCTTTTCTTGGCAGAAATAACTCCGTATATGGTACCGAGAAGTCGATCAGATGGAATTTCGAGGGACATACGCGTACTTGTTGCATTGCGCTTTTTTGCTCTTAACATTTATAATGTGCAACATCGAAAGGCGAGAAATTGCATTGAGCGTTGTTTCGGATTATTAAAAAGTAGATTTCGTTGCCTTAACAGCGAAAGAACTTTAATGTATGATCCTGAAACAGCGGGCAAAATTGTTAATTCATGTTTGGTTCTACATAACTTCATTATTACACATAATATAATGAACGAAGTTAATGATGTTGACTGCGCAGAAAACACGGACGAAGAAATAAATGAATATAATGACTTTGAAGCACAAGAACCCGTCCCTGAAGCGTTTCTAGTAAGAGAAGAAATAATCAATAATTATTTTCAATATTAATTGGGTTTTATTTAATTGACTTTTTATTAAAAGTTTAAATATATATTTATTTATATTGTTATTTTAATATTATTTTATTAATAATAAATTGTTATTATGACTAATACTCAACACTTTTTTATTAATACTCTGGCCTTAGGTCGTTAATTTAACACATAAAAATTACACTTATAAATTTGTGTTAAATATTTAATTGTATTTCAGTTTTTATAAAAACTCATTGTATTACAAATATTTGGGTCTATTTCGTAGACCATCTTCAGTGTCCAATGAGGAAGAAAAACCTTAGAAATAAACAATTATTTTATTAATAAAACAGCGCAAATTACCACATCACTCCTGAGGTATTGCACATAATGCGTTAACCAAATTATTCTATATGGCTGGTTCCCCCGTAGGCCGATCCACCATAAAAAGCTTACATTAATTCTATTCTATGTATTAAAATTATTAATTGCATCCGCCAACAGTTTTATAGCATCTGTATGCTCTTTAGTGGCCTGCACGCGTTCGTCCGCAATCTCTTTCTCTTGTTTGAGCTTTTTTTCCTCCAGCTCAAGTCGACGCTCCTCAAGCCTCAACCTTTTCTCCTCTAACTCGACGAACTTTTGGTTGGTCTGGAATGAATTTGGAATGAGGGATTTCGCTTTCGTCGCTTGGCTGGACGAATAGGTCGAATAGGCACACAACCCTCATCGTTACCCCCAACAGATGGACCTGAACCGCTTGGCAGTTCCTTTCCCTCCTCAAGGCACTTAAATTAAACATTTATTAGATTAATAATTAAAAAATAAAAAAAAAATAAAAGCGATAATAAGGCATTCGCCTCTAATACTTACCTCTAAATCATAACAACCTGAAATGTCACTTTCAAAGTGCATTGCTGGCTCGCAGACATCTTCCATACCTTGCACCGCTACTGGATGCATTACTGCAATAATCCGTTCATCTAGATCAGTTAAATCCTTAATGACAACGGACGCATTTCCAGTCAGTCCCATTGCATGTTTATAGTCCTGCACTTTTTTCTTGCTTTTGGATCTAAAATTAAACAATAGAGTTTTTTTATTTACAATTTTTCAATATAGTTTCTACAACTATAAAATTAAAAGCAACGATGTTATTTTACATGTTTTTATGTATAATTCTTTTATATATATATATACATATATTATTAATTGTTAACATATCTTATTTTAATTTTTAACTACTTACTTCATGTTGACCCATGCCTTCTTCCAACCATTGGCATCTTTAACTGCTCCACCAACGGCATTTAAAATAGCAGCTAGAGAGCTCCACTGTTCATTAAGACTTCGCGCGCGATGATCCGACACAAATCTGTCATGAGCAAATCTATATGCTCCATATGCTTGACCAGCGCTTGTTTCTGCTCCTTGCTAATGCGTTTTGTCTTTAAATCTACGAACTCCATCATAAATATCTGAGAACTAAATAATAAATAAAATATATTAAATAATATATGTGGAGATATGTACATATATAATTATTTATTTTGTTTACTGTTTTATTTCCAATTCATTATTTTTGGTGCAATTTTAAAAATTAAAAATAAAATATGAAAAATAAAATACATTTGTTTACATTTGCTAAACACCAAATGCACTCTCACTATATTACTGCCACAAAATTTTTGTAATATTAATTTTATTTTGTCATTTTACTTTAAATGCAAAATTTATTTCTATCACAATTACTTAATTAATAAATAAATATGAATATTATACTAAATACGTACAAAATAATTGCTCAATTTGTTTAAAAAATAATATTTTCACTTTAAGCGACAGCAAAAACCTAGTCGCCAAAAACAATCAAATTAGGAGAAATTTTAGTCGTTTTAAACGAAGTTTAGCGATTGACAATTTAGCAGAATACAAAATTTGGCGATTTAGCGATTTATCCGGAAAAATCAGCTGTTTTTGAAAGTTGAGAAAATTAGCAAATAGAAATTAAGCGTAACGAGTTAGCAGAATCGCAAAAATCGCTAAAATGCATTTAAAGAATTTTAGCGATGGAGTTTTAGCGATAGCGATTAGTGGAATCGGCCTGCAGTATAGTGTTTTTGGAATTCGCTTTTTGTAGTTCGATTCGATTTCCATTAGTGCCGTATCTGCTTTCAGGTTCAAAATACGTTAACATTCTCTTGATAATTTATGAAATGTAAACGTTTTTATTTAGGAATCTACTCTTGCAAGCAGTTTTGTTCTAACTTCAAAATCAGCAGGAGACTTCAACCTCATAATAAATATAAGACATTTTAATTCGTCCAGAGTTATTTTATAATAGTTAGCTGAAAGTTTTTGCATTCTTTGTTGACGTTATCACCGTATGTGATGAAACCGGAATTTACTCCTTTGGTAATTTGCAAACAGTTTTATCGCATGTTAAAAGTAATGTTTGTGAACCGAAAATATTTGTCAAATTCCATACATTTTCTTTGAAATTAAACTCTCGCGGATGTTTTGGAAAAATGAAGTTTATGTATTTATTGTGTACCGCAGTATCAAAATTGCGTACCCCAACTTTCCCTGCGTCGACATGATTTGCTGCGACATTATGATTTGTTGCATCGACATTGAACAAATCTTGTCAAATGTGAAATTGTTTTCATTGTCATACGAAAATAGTTGAATTGTTGTTGATAATGCTTCGATCAAAAATTCTGGTGATTTTTCTGTTGTAACTGGTTGGGTCCTAGGTTCCACTAACTATTATATCAACTGCTGCATAATTACGAATTCTCTTAATCGCTGGTCTTTCATTTGTTTAAAAAAAACTTTCAATTGCTTGGCGTCCATATCTCCATCGTCAGATGTTGTATTATTAGCAACTAATGCAATTTAGACAGATTTATATATCTTTTATGTCTTCTCTGTTTCACATTTTCACAACTACTGCAACATGACATTCGGTTTCGCCGCAGGATTATACTTACCTCGAATTATACTTAATATTGAAAGAAAAGTATCTGTATTGGATCTGTAATTTACGTATAAAATAAAAAATGAAAATTACAATTGAACAAACGATAATAATATTTTATTGTGTTCATTGTCGTGTTAATTTTTATACATAAATACAAGAGAAATGGTGGGTGTTTTAAAAACATCTTGTTTACAAAAATGTGTTTTTAACTACTGTTAACTACTGGTTTAAGAAAAACCGTTCACAACTATCGAAAAAAAAACAAACAAAAAAGGAACACATCGTTTTGTTCATACTTTGTTCTCCGAATGTCAAACCTTTTTTTGAACTCAAATATTTATTCGCGTAAAGCTTTGTACCCGCAAAAGAAAGATAAAAAGAATACAAGCTTAATTTAAAGTACTCAATTGTCTTCCATAAAAAAAATATAGTATATATTATTAAAATTCAAAATAGACAAAAAATGCGTTATACATATATATTATATATTAAAATAATTGCTAATAAAATGTTAAATAATTAACATGAATTAATTGAAAATAATAATAAATGCGGCAAATGTGGTTTAATATCCCAGCCCCATTGAATTATTTAGATTCAATATCGGTAATAACGCTAACTTCGCAATGGGTCTAGTGAATACAGTTTCAGGCGTCTTAACTTCGGCTACTCTGGCCTTACCATTCGCTCCTGTTATTGTTCGAATGATGCGGCCAATAACCCATTTCATAGGTGGCAGGTTGTCATTATGAATGGTTATCAAGTCTCCGACCCTCAAATTGCGAGTTGGATATTGCCAATGATTTTGCGATTGTAAATTGAATAAATATTCATGCTGCCAGCAACGCCAAAATTCGATTGATGCGACCAATAACCCATTTCATAGGTGGCAGGTTGTTATCATGAATAGTTAACAAGTCTCCGGCCCTCAAATTGCGAGTTGGATATTGCCAACGATTTCGTGATTGTAAAGTGAATAAATATTCATGCTGCCAGCGACGCCAAAATTGAGATTTTACTTCAGTCATTCGTTTCCATCGATCAAGTAACGAAATTTCCTGTGATGTAATTACTGATTCCGGAATGTGCTTTAGTTTTTTGCCGACTAACAATTCGCCTAGTGTTAATACTGACAGGTCATTGGGATCTGTGAATATACTCGTAAGTGGACGGGAATTCATCACAGCTTCGATCTCAACTGGAGCCATAACAATTTCTTCGAATGTAAGATGGGCATTTTAGTATTTTGTACAAGTGTGATTTTACGATTTTTACCGTAGCTTCCCAGAGTGCTCCGAAGTGAGGTAGGGCACCTCACTTACGAAAAAAAAGTCAATACGTAAATTTGCGCAACGTGACATGATTGTAACAATTGTACATTGCTTAGTGAAGAAATTGCGGAAATCTCTTAGCTTGTTGTCTGCACTAATAAAATTTGTTGCGTTGTCACAAAATGTCTTCATAGGCACACCTCGATAACCAACGAACCATTTTAATGCTGATATGAATGCGTCACCTGATAATTCTGTTACAGCCTTCAAATGCACCGCTTTACTTGCAAAACATATAAACAAAGCAATATAAGATTTACATGGTTGCTTACCTCGTATCTTCCAATATGAGGGTATTGTTCCGGAAAAGTTTACTCCAGTAACATGGAACGACAAGCATTCAGTAACTTGTTCTTTAGGAAGATTACCGATTACTTGCTCTAACAGTTTCGGTTCATCTTTGGTGCAGTGAACACAGTCATGAACTACCTGAGCTGCTAAACACATCCAATTTATGACCCAAAATTTCTGTTAAATGAGTATTGTTAAGGCTTGCGGTCCAGCATGAAAATTTGAGCGGTGTATGTTAGTCGCCAATGAAACCACGAATATATCTGCCTTTGGCAATAATAGAGGATGCTTCACTTCAAACGATTCATCTGCATTCATCAGGCGGCCACCAACGAGAAATAACAACAAGTTCCCAAATCGATCGAGAAACGGACATAAGTTTGCTAGTTTGCCCTTAATTGGCTTTTTGTTTTTCAACAACGTGATTTCATTCATTAAGGTCGTTTTGGGAAAATGATGGCCCGTAAAAACACATGGTTGACTGCAATGTGTACACAGTACGTATTTGTTGACAAATTTTGGATGTCGGCAACTCGATTGCCAACAAAAACGGATAGTGTTGATTGTTGTATAATTAGGTAGTATAAGTCAGGCTGTCGTAAGTAAAAGACACATCGTTTACTTATTTATATTACTCACATGGTTGTATAAAATATAACATTGATGACAGAACGAATCCAATGAAGTGTGATTTGTGAATCGGACTAGAAATGGACTTCTGATATTTCAAACGATAAATGCGGTTGTACCTTTCTCCAAAATTTTGATAACAGTTGAGCTGAACTCACATGGTTGTATAAAATATAACATTGATGATTTAGAACGAATCCAATGAAGTGTGATTTGTGAATCGGACTAGAAATGGACTTCTGATATTTCAAACGATAAATGCGGTTGTACCTTTGTCCAAAATTTTGATAACAGTTGAGCTGAACAGAGTTCTAGTCGTGGCAATGAGCATGTTTTCGTGGGAGCCAATCTTGGTTTTGATGCAAGTAAGTTTATGCATATGTTTCCCAATAAATCTATACATCTCAAGTATAGACAGCAACAATATGCCTTTACAGACACATCACAGAATCCGCAGTTCAATTGTGTTGGCAATTCGTGCAAACGAGAAATATGCAGCAGTGATAAATGTTGCAAATCATCAATGAATTCTTTAAATTTACTTGCTAAAATCTCAGGAATGCCTTCATCCCATGAAACATTTTGTACCCAAAGCTATTGTAATATGATTGGATTGATGAGGCCCAACGGATCAAAAAATGAAGCTGTAAATGATAGAATCGACTTTTAGTAATAATACTTAACAATTTTTTAGGTTTAAACAAAAACTTGAATTCATCTTTATCTGGTCTCCATTTCACTCCGAGTGCACTGGTTGTGTCTTCATTCAACTGGAGGTCGCGTTCCAAACTTGCATTTAAGCTAGAATGACTACAATGCTATTTACACAATTCCAACTACTACTCAGGAAGTTCCAAATGCGAGTCCTACAGGAAGGTTATAAAGGAGCTTAAGTCCTGCAATTTCTGCAATTAAACTTAAATCGATGTCAGGCTGCCCAAGACCTCTTATCCCAAACAGCCTTCGACTTAAAGTTGGATGTACTCGTAATTAGTGAATTTTACAAATCAAAAGAAACT